TATTAGATGTTGAGTATTAGGCGTAGGGTATTCGACGTCAGGTATTAGATGTCGGGTATTAGGCATAGGGTATTAAACATAGGGTATCAGACATAGGGTATTATATGTAGGATATCAGATGTAGGGTATTAGACGTAGGGTGTTAGATGTAGGGTATTCGATGTCAGGTATTAGATGCAGGATATTAGACATCGGGTATTAGATGTAGAGTATTAGACGTCGGTTATTAGGCATAGGGTATTAGATGTAGGGTATTAGACGTAGGGTATTTGATGTCAGGTATTAGATGCAGGATATTAGACGTAGGGTATTAGAGTACTAGAGATCAGGTATTAGATGTAGAGTATTAGACATCGGTTATTAGGCATAGGGTATCAGACATAGGGTATTAGATGTAGGGTATTAGACTTAGGCTATTAGACATAGGCTGAGGTAGCATACTAGACATCAGGTATTAGATTACAGTATTAGATGTCAGGTATTAGGCATAGGGTATTAGATGTAGGGTATTCAACATCAGGTATTAGACTTAGAATAGTAGATGTAGGGTATTAGACATAGGATATTAGATGTAGGGTATTAGACGTAGGGTATTCGATGTGAGGTATTAGCCGCAGGATATCAGATGTAGGGTATTAGAGGTAGTGTACTAGATGTCGGGTATTAGATGTAGAGTATTAGATGTCGGGTATTAGGCATAAGATATTAGATGTAGGGTATTAGATGAAGAGTGTTACATGTAGGGTATTAGATGAAGAGTATTAGATGTAGGGTATTAGATGGAGAGTATTAGATGTAGGGTATTAGATGAAGAGTGTTAGATGTAGGGTATTAGATGAAGAGTGTTAGATGTAGGGTATTAGATGAAGAGTATTAGATGTAGGGTATTAGATGAAGAGTGTTAGATATAGGGTATTAGATGAAGAGTATTACATGTAGGGTATTAGATGAAGAGTGTTAGATATAGGGTATTAGATGAAGAGTGTTAGATGTAGGGTATTAGATGAAGAGTATTAGATGTAGGGTATTAGATGAAGAGTATTAGATGTAGGGTATTAGATGAAGAGTGTTAGATATAGGGTATTAGATGAAGAGTATTAGATGTAGGGTATTAGATGTAGGGTATTAGATGAAGAGTATTAGATGTAGGGTATTAGATGAAGAGTGTTAGATGTAGGGTATTAGATGAAGAGTATTAGATGTAGGGTATTAGATGAAGAGTGTTAGATATAGGGTATTAGATGAAGAGTATTACATGTAGGGTATTAGATGAAGAGTGTTAGATGTAGGGTATTAGATGTAGGGTATTAGATGAAGGGTATTAGATGAAGAGTATTAGATGTAGGGTATTAGATGGAGAGTATTAGATGTAGGGTATTAGATGAAGAGTGTTAGATGTAGGGTATTAGATGAAGAGTGTTAGATGTAGGGTATTAGATGAAGAGTATTAGATGTAGGGTATTAGATGAAGAGTGTTAGATATAGGGTATTAGATGAAGAGTATTACATGTAGGGTATTAGATGAAGAGTGTTAGATGTAGGGTATTAGATGAAGAGTGTTAGATGTAGGGTATTAGATGAAGAGTATTAGATGTAGGGTATTAGATGAAGAGTATTAGATGTAGGGTATTAGATGAAGAGTGTTAGATATAGGGTATTAGATGAAGAGTATTAGATGTAGGGTATTAGATGTAGGGTATTAGATGAAGAGTATTAGATGTAGGGTATTAGATGAAGAGTGTTAGATGTAGGGTATTAGATGAAGAGTATTAGATGTAGGGTATTAGATGAAGAGTGTTAGATGTAGGGTATTAGATGTAGGGTATTAGATGAAGAGTATTAGATGTAGGGTATTAGATGTAGAGTATTAGATGTAGGGTATTAGATGTAGAGTGTTAGATGTAGGGTATTAGATGTAGGGTATTAGATGTAGGGTATTAGATGAAGAGTATTAGATGTAGGGTATTAGATGTAGGGTATTAGATGAAGAGTATTAGATGTAGGGTATTAGATGAAGAGTGTTAGATGTAGGGTATTAGATGTAGGGTATTAGATGTAGGGTATTAGATGAAGAGTATTAGATGTAGGGTATTAGATGAAGAGTATTAGATATAGGGTATTAGATGTAGGGTATTAGATGAAGAGTATTAGATGTAGGGTATTAGATGAAGAGTATTAGATGTAGGGTATTAGATGAAGAGTATTAGATGTAGGGTATTAGATGTAGGGTATTAGATGAAGGGTATTAGATGTAGGGTATTAGATGAAGAGTATTAGATGTAGGGTATTAGATGAAGAGTGTTAGATGTAGGGTATTAGATGGAGAGTGTTAGATGTAGGGTATTAAAGAGTGTTAGATGTAGGGTATTAGATGAAGAGTATTAGATGTAGGGTATTAGATGTAGGGTATTAGATGTAGGGTATTAGATGAAGAGTATTAGATGTAGGGTATTAGATGAAGAGTGTTAGATGTAGGGTATTAGATGGAGAGTGTTAGATGTAGGGTATTAGATGGAGAGTATTAGATGTAGGGTATTAGATGAAGAGTATTAGATGTAGGGTATTAGATGAAGAGTATTAGATGTAGGGTATTAGATGAAGAGTATTAGATGTAGGGTATTAGATGTAGGGTATTAGATGAAGAGTGTTAGATGTAGGGTATTAGATGGAGAGTGTTAGATGTAGGGTATTAGACTTAGGGTATTAGATGTAAGATAAAGTAAATTCCTCTTTCCAGTTTAGCCTATTGACTTCCTTTAAAATTCTAGAGGGAGAAAAATTGTTAAGTACAATGAGTTCTGCATTCCTCTTCAAAGACCCGATGTGTCAGCATGTTCAGCTTCCCTGCTCTTTGTTCTCTGTTTTAAAGTTTAACTTCCTTGTTCCTTATGCCTCCCTGCCCCTAGTTTCAGTGAACAACCCCCTCCTAGCCTCTAGCACCTGTTCTGTCCTCAGGCATCCTTAGTCACCTGTTCTACAACCATCCTTCCCACCAAAAATACTCACCCCGCCACTCCAGCTCATGCCCTTGCTCTCTTTAAAATAGCCAATCAGAGTTAGCTTAGACTGTGCTGTCCAACCCTAGCCAATAGGGGAAAGGCACAGCAGTAGAGACTACCTGCCTCAGGAATGAGAACCCCTTCCCCTCCCTTGCCCACTGTGCTCTTGCCATTGCTCCATCCATGAGATGTGCCCTTCTATGGAAGTAAATTTGCCTCACTGAGAAAATTAATGTTCAAGTGCTGTTTCTTTTGCGGCACCAAAAACTTGTTTCCAACATAGAGAAGAAACAACTGCAAAAGACCCACCATCCAGGGAATGGGGAACAAAGGAAGGAAGTTAAAACTTTGAAATTTAGGACCAGTGGGGACCAATAGAGTGTAACTCAGGCCCCTGAGGGGCTCCCAGCCAGTTAGTGGCCAGGATCTCTGACAGGAAACAATGGGCCTGGTTTTTCAAGTGCTGGGAAAACTGCAAAAGTCCACTGCTGCTGCCAGGTGGAGAAAGTTGCTGTGGGGCAGGCATGGTGGCTCACAGCTATAATCCCAGCACTTTCTGAGGCCAAGGCAGGAGGAATCACTTGAGCTCAGGAACTGGAGACAAGCCTAGGCAATATATCAAGACACCATCTCTACAAAGTTAAACATTTAAAAATTAGCCGGGCAAGCTGCTGGTAGCCTGGCACTTGGTACATGCCTGAAGTCCCAGCTACTCAGAAAGCTGAAAAAGGAATCCTTCCACTTGCGAGCTGGAGGCTGCAGTGAGCTGTGATTGTGCCACTGCACTTCAGCCTGGCTAACACGAGTGACATTCTGTCAAAAGAGAGAGAGAGAGAGAGAAACATGCTGGGGCAACACTGACAGGGAGTGAAAAGTGAAGCTCAGAAACATAAAGGAAGATGGACAAATTGGAAGGAATTAAAAAATAGAAGGGGTGGGGGAATAAAAAGGAGTGAGACGATAGGAGGCTTGGGGCAATTGGGCACGTGGGACAACTGGAGAAAGTGGGACAATTAAACAGGGGTGACAATTGGGGCATTTGGAAGGGAGGGCTAACTGGAAGAGTGAGACAATTTTAAGGTGTCGGACAATGGGAAGGTGGCACTTACAAAAGGGTGGGACGGACAACTGGAAGGGGTGGCACTGTGGGACCTGTGGGACAACTGAAAGCAGTGCGGCAATTAGAAGGGTGAGATATTTGGAACCTGTGGGCAGTTGGGAGGACTGGGAGCACTTTCCCTCACCCCTGGACCCTCCTCTGGCGACTGCAACTGTCAGGGCCTCCCAGAGCTGTGGCAGAGCCCAGGCACGGTTTGCAGAGCCCCAGGTGCCTGGCAACTGGGATCCTGGTTTAGGAAAGGAGGATTCAGAGCTGAGGGACAACTCAGGAAGCGGCACAGACACCAGCGCAGGACGGCATGGACGGCAGGCACCAGCATGGCACGCACACCACACTACCTGTGCCTGGCCCCGAGATCAGGTGATGAAGGAGGATGCCAGCGCCCTGGGGGACGCCTGCTGTCATGAAGGTCAGAGGCCACACGTGGGAACCTTGCTCTCTGGACTCCGCCAGAGAAGACGTCAGGCAGCAAATCCGGGCTGTTCCTGGCTCTTCTGTACCTCGGAGACTTTTCTAAAGACAGATATGAGAAAAGACTTGCTGAGACCCGGACTCTGGGGGGAACGGAGGACAAAAATGACCTTGTTTTCTTTCTCTTTGCACATCAATTGTAGTGTCCCTTAAGGCAGGGTACTGGACGGAAAGGTACCGTCTGAAATGGGAGCTTTTTCCTTCCAAGACATGCAGAAATCATTGAACTTACAGGGTCTCACGGAACCTGGTGCTGCTGGATGCCTTTCAGTCTCCTCTGCCAGGCACCACAAGGCAGCTTCCTGACACCAGCCATCTTCTGTATGCCTGTGAGTGAGGCCAGAGGGACAGCCTCACACACACTCCCACTCCTCCCCGCAGCACCGGGCGCTCCCACAGTCCCACGCTGCCCGGGGAGCTGCGGCCAGCAGCCTCTGCTCTGCAGAGGGACAAACCCATTCTTCCTGTGAGGACAAGCCCCGCTGGTAGCCGGCCCTCAGCCGACCACCCTGAGGCACAGATGGAGAGAAATGGTCCCTCAAGTGCTTCGAGCTGGGAGTGCCGATGAGGTCACAGCTTGGCTTCGCTCCACCCAGAGACCTCGTGGTTTCCTCTGCCTGCCCGGCCTGCCTGGAAGCCTGCAGGGAGGGTTGGGGTTTCTCTCGCTGTCCACACCCAGGCAAAAGCTGAGCAGAAGGGAAGGGGTCCCTCTTGACCGGCTCCATTCCAGCCGGACACCACGTGACTCAGAGTTGGTGGACACGGGACTGGAGACCCCGAGAGGCTTTGAGGATAGGAACCCCGGGCCGTACCCAGGGCAGATCCAAGGCCCAGGGTCAGAGCAGGCAGGATCGGCTGCTCCTCTGCCCCCAACGGTGAGTAGCGAAGGTGGCTGGATCAGGGTGGGTCTCTGGGGCCGGCCCAGGTGCTGGGCATTTTCTGGGCTCCTGTACTGGCCAGAGGGGCAGGGGCGGGGCAGGGCGGGGCCACAGCGGGTGCTATCAACTGGGAGCTCTCCAGGCTGCATCCGCCACCCTCTGACTGGCTGTGCCACCTGGTCGGCAGCCAGCCCTGGGCTGACGCTGGAAGAGGACGCTGGCTTGGGTGACTCCTCTGTCCGGTAGCTCTGTCTCCCATCTGCCTGGCTGCCCCCATGCTCTAGAGTGTTCCATGCAGGTGCAGACTCTCCAGGGGGTCATGGGGACAGCCGGAGACAGGCCCTCTCCTCCCTGCCACACCGGGCGCTGATTCTGGACAGCCTCATGGCTCCTCAGTACTGACTGTCCAGGCAGGATGCACAGCCGCTCCTGGACCCCCCGGGGACAGGGAACGCCAGGCCTTCCTCCTGTTCTCTCCCATGGCCCTTCTTGCCCCTCCCCTTCTCCTTCCTCCTTGTCCTCCCCTCTTGCTCTCCGAGGATGCAACCAACTCCTCTACTTCCCGCAGTCCTGTAACCCAACTGTGGGGACCCTTCCTACAGAGCTCTGCCGCCCTCCTGAGCCCCACAGGGAGACCTCCTCCAGTGTCACAGCAGAGGGACAGGCTCTGGCCAAGCTCCGAAGCTCTACCCTCACATGCCCCGTTCTCCCTGTTTCCTTCCCCTTACCCTGTCTCTTCATGCCTCTCCCTTCCCTGCCATGCTCTCTCCCTGGGGCCCAGCCGAGAAGCCTGTGTCCTCCTTAGCCATGCAGGGGGTGAGACAGGAGAGGGACCATGCCCCTTGGGGGCCACAGGCTGGAGAAACCCCACCAGAGCTTGCTGGGGTCTCAAGCTTTTGTAGGGTCTTAAGTCCAGTCTTATGACCTCCCAAAACTCATCTCCTCCCTCCTGGCCTGAGGGTTGGGAGCCCCCAGGCTGTCCTGAGCAGGAGAGCAGCTGTCCACCTCCCCACCCCTCCCCACCTGTCAAGGCAGTGATGACCCATCAGCCCCACTCTAGGTATCCTCCTGGTGATGCTGGCCCAGGTGGAGCTTCCCCCACCACCTCACCTCCCACCCAACGCCTGCCTTCCCAGGGCCTTGGGTGCTAGGACAGGCACAGGGCCAGGAGGAAGAGCCCTTTATCTCCAACCAGGCTTGACCCCACCTGCAGGAGATCCCAACTGGACTCAGCTTCCTGAGGGGCCTCCTTTTCACTGAGCACCCCACCCTCTGTGCCCACCCCTGAGGCGAGGACAACCTCAGGCTATCATTTCACCCCAGTCAAACGAAGATCAGAGAGCTGAGGCGTAAGCAGAGGGAGATGACCAGCACCTCGCCGGGCGGCTAGCACCTCTGTGCTCACAGATAACCCTGCCCCCGGTCACCTCTTCCAGAATCCCGGCACCACAGCGTCCCCTTGCGTGGCCTCAGGTCCTCCTGTCCCTGGAGGGAGACAGCAGGGTCTGAGCACAACCTTGAGGTGGGAAGAATCTGCTAAGACCAGCCATAGGGGTTTCTGCTTGTAACCCCACCCTCCTTATCCCAGCTCCCAGCCCTCCCATGACACAGGAGAACCAGCCACCAACAAGTTGGGAGGGGCACCTGGTGTTGGCCCCTGACCTCGGTCAGCCTCTTGGGGGAGGCAAGGCCCCATCCCATCTCCCCCAACCCCAAGAGGAGGAGCTAGGGGCACCAAACACTCAGGGACACATGATGGGCCAGGTAACCACAGGGGCAGAGTGAACCACAGGTAATCACAGGGGCAGAGTGAACCACAGGTAACCACAGGGGGCAGCATGGGGCCACAGGTAAACACAGGGGGCAGTGTGTGAACCACAGGTAACCACAGGGGGTAGCGTGTGAACCACAGGTAAACACAGGGGACAGCGTGGGGCCACAGGTAACCACAGGGGGCAGCGTCTGAACCACAGGTAACCACAGGGGGCAGCGTCTGAACCACGGGTAACCACAGGGGGCAGCGTGGGGCCACAGGTAACCACAGGGGCCAGCATGTGAACCACAGGTAAACACAGGGGGCAGCGTCTGAACCACAGGTAACCACAGGGGGCAGCGTGTGAACCACAGGTAAACACAGCGGGCAGTGTGTGAACCGCAGGGGGCAGCATGGGGCTACAGGTAAACACAGGGGGCAGCATGTGAACCACAGGTAACCACAGGGGGCAGCATGTGAACCACAGGTAACCACAGGGGGCAACGTGAACCACAGGTAACCATGGGGGGCAGTGTGTGAACCACAGGTAACCACGGGGGGCAGCATCTGAACCACAAGTAACCACAGGGGGCAGTGTCTTAACTACAGGGGGCAGCGTGTGAACCACAGGTAACCACAGGGGGCAGCGTGTGAGCCACAGGTAACCACAGGGACAGTGGGGTCATGTCTCTGCAGGTGTGTCTCTGGCTCTGAGCACCAAGGAGTCCTATCATGTCTATTACTTGCTGTATTTCTGGCAGAGCTGTGATGAAGACTCCGATTCCAGACTAGCTTCCGTGGGATTTGTGCTGCCTCCCAGGGCTCAGCACCCCTCCTGAAGGACCTGCCCCCATGAGCCAACTGCCTTGGGAGGGGATGGAGAGAGGCTGGAGACACCATGGAAGCTCAGGGCCCCTCCCAGCCCCATCACCAGACAGGTCCCTCTTCTCCCCATGGGGAAAGGGCAGGTGACATTGAGCAGGATGCAGCCCCTCCATGTGCCCTCTACCCCGCAGAGGCTGAGTCCTGCCGTAGACCCCCTACCCCGCAGAGGCTGAGTCCTGCCATAGACCCCCTACCCCGCAGAGGCTGAGTCTTGCCATGGGACAGCAGGGACATGCCCAGGGGAGAGGCAGATCTCCTGGGTCCTGATGTGGCTGCATGGTGTACTAAGCTGGAGGGCTGGGGACCAGGAGCCCACTGGCAAACAGCCCCTCATGTTAGGTTAAGGAAAGGCTGAGAGTTGAGAGCTGCTTTAAGATGATGACAGAAAGCCCACCCAGCCACTGCAAGCTGTCCCTCTGTGGTCACACCACTCATTAGACATGGGCGGTGCATCCTACTCTGCCTTGGACTTTAAGATAAGGCTGTTCTGAGCGTTAAGGCACCACTAGCAACAGGGAGCCCCAGGGGTCTTGGCCCTTCTTCCCACATCTCCTGGTCCCTGCCCCCACCCCAGCCTGCAGGGACCAGCTCCACACAAAGCCCTTGAGGCCAGGTCACCATAGGAAGGGGAGGAAGGGGGGATCTTCCTCCCCAAGTGTCTCAGGGAAGAGCAGCTGAGGTCAGGTGGCTGAGGATGGAAATGGGAGAGGAGCCTCCTCCTGGGGGGTGTGACCATTCCCCTGGCCACCCACCCAACCCTTATCTATCTCCTCTCCCCTGATGCAGAGAGGGGCAAGGGGCACAGCTTCCTGAGTGCCAGACTCAACTGCTGTGGTTGCAGGGGCATCAGGAGACAGAGAGAGCTGAACACATCCCTGCAGCAACCCCTGTCCCCCACCCCACGATGGACCCCAGAGAAGCTGGGCAGCATGGGGGGACCGCCGACGGCGCCCAGGAGGATGTGGCCTTCAACCTCGTCATCCTGTCCCTCACCGAGGGGCTCAGCCTGGGTGGGCTGCTGGGGAACGGGGCAGTCCTCTGGCTCCTCAGCTCCAATGTCTACAGAAACCCCTTTGCCATCTACCTCCTGGATGTGGCCTGTGCAGACCTCATCTTCCTTGGCTGCCACATGGTGGCCGTGGTCCCCGACTTGCTGCCAGGCCGGCTGGACTTCCCGGACTTCGTGCAGACCAGTCTGGCCACGCTGCGCTTCTTCTGCTACATCGTGGGCCTGAGCCTCCTGGGGGCCGTCAGCATGGAGCAGTGCCTGGCCGCCCTCTTTCCAGCCTGGCACTCATGCCGCCGCCCACGCCACCTGACCACCTGCACATGCGCCCTCACCTGGGCCCTCTGCCTGCTCCTGCACCTGATGCTCAGCGGCGCCTGCACCCAGCTCTTTGGGGAGCCCAGCCACCACCTGTGCTGGACGCTGTGGCTGGTGGCTGCGGTGCTGCTGGCCACGCTGTGCTGCGCCATGTGTGGGGCCAGCCTGCTGCTGCTGCTGCGCATGGAGAGAGGCCCCCAGCGGCCCCCGCCCCGGGGCTTCCCTGCGCTGGTCCTCCTCACCGTCCTCCTCTTCCTCTTCTGCGGCCTGCCCTTCGGCATCTACTGGCTGTCCCGGAACCTGCTCTGGCACATCCCCCAGTACTTCTACCACGTCAGCTTCCTCATGGCTGCAGTGCACTGCGCCGCCAAGCCCGTCATCTACTTTTGCCTGGGCAGTGCCCAGGGCCGCAGGCTGCCTCTCCGGCTGGTCCTCCAGCGGGCACTGGGAGACGAGGCTGAGCTGGGGGCTGTCAGGGAGACCTCCCGCCGGGGCCTGGTGGACATAGCAGCCTGAGCCCTGGGGGCCCTGACCCCAGCTCAGCCTCCGGGAGCCAGGAGGAGTTACCCTCCTGCCTCCGGGAAGACGGTGGGGTCAGAGGCTGGGGCCAGCCGCACCTGGAGGAGGCCTTGGTGGGTGACCTGGTCATGGGCTGTCGAAGCTGTGACCCTGGCTCCTGGGCATGAGGCTCCCCTGGGAGGCAGCTGGAAAGGCGAGGTCTCTACGTGCCCAGGCAGGTGGGCTGGGTCTCTGGGGAGAAGGCCCAGGAATATGCATTTTGGGGAAACCTCCCTGACAGTTCAGGCACAAGCACTAAAGAGCCGCTGCTGCTACCCATTCCCTGCTCAGCCTCAGTGAGGAGACCCTGGAAAGGAAGGAAGCCAGGCTGGGCACCAGGTGAGGGGCAGGTGCAGACCCTCCCGCAGTCACCTCCCCTCCTGCTCGTGCTTCCTCATGCTGCAGGTGCACCCACGGAGAACACAACCGTCCCTCAGCTCACCATGTCCCCTTTGCAGCACCTGAATTGACCCTAAAATTGAAGACTGCCCAAAACTTGACTTCCGGCCCCGATGAACTCTGTCCAAAGCGGCCTGAAGCCTTTTTGTCCTGGGCCGGTTATGTCGTCGTGGGTTTTAAGCAGGAAAATGCAGTGATGCCACAAAGCCACTCATTCTATCAGCATAAGGTGTACGTGGATCCAGAGCTGTACCCCCAACCCCAGCACACACGCTGTGAGGAAAAGCAGGGCTGAGGGTGGCTTCTAAAAGGCTGTGGAGCTGTCCTTGGTCATCGGCCCCTTGCTCAAGGCATGTGATTCAGACCCGGACAATACAACCCTCGCTTGGAGCTTCGGAAAAGCCGGCCCCATGGGTGTCCCCAGATATTGCACCCTGGGTGGGCGGAAACGCTCCTTACAACCCCACACAGCAGCCCGCAGCCCTGTCTCCCCATGGGACCCAGGCCTTCAGCAACTGGAAAGCTTCCTGCCCGCCCCGTGTGACGCAGCCCAACCCCTGTCCCGGGCCGGTTGGCTCCAGAGGATCCCTCTAAGGAAGGAACGTGGGCTTCACCCTCAGCAGGCTTCTGAGCTTCCCCTGAGTGCTGGTCCTGGCTGCCACCCTGGAGCACCTGCCAGGGGGTGCTAGGAGCAGGGGCTTTGGAGCCCACAGCCTTGGCTGAGCCTTGCTGGCCACCCCACTGAGTCACCGAGGCCCAGTCTCTGAACGCCTCCCCGCCTCTGCTTGCTTGTCTGTAAAAGATGAGATCCAGTGCTGTGAGGCCTGCCAGCCTCTCGTGAGCCCAAGAGAAACGGGTGTCCCCTGCCACGAACGCCCCACCCCAAGTCTGCAATGCCAGTCTAAGCCGCAGACTGAGGCATCTGAGAGGTTTGACCTCTGACTCCGGCCTCCATGCCCGGTGATGGAGGGACATTCCCACCCGGTCGTGACTGAGCCTATCCCTGCTGAGTCTGGGTGAGGGTCACAGACCCCTGGTCAGCACCCTACCCTAGAGTCTGGCTCCACCACCCTCCTCACCCCATGGGGCCTGCACTGGGCCCACCCCAGCCCACACAATGCGTTCATCCCCGGCTCCCGCCCGTCCCCGGCAGGCCTGGAGACTGGGAGCCCCAGGGGCGAGGCCCACCTCTCCTACAGCCCCTACAGCCCCTCTCGGGGACTTACCTCCTCCCAACTGATCCCCAGCCCAGGATCTGGGCAGGACCCTCTCTCCCTGCCTCCAGGACAGGATTAGCAAGCTCCATTCCTCAGCTGGCGAAACGAGGACAGAAAGGGAAGTGGCCTGTCCACAGATCCCACTTTCAGCCCCAGAACATACACTTCCCCCAGGACAAGGAAGAACCGGGAGGAAAAGCACAGATGAATCTCATGACGTGACCTTGCCGTGGGCATGATCCCGGGAATCCCTGTAATAATGTAGGAACTTACTCCCACTCTCCAGATGAGACCACTGAGGCTCAGAGGGGCTATGCGGCCGCTCAGGACCACAAGAAAGTGGCAGAGCCAGAAGGTGACTCCCAGCCCAGCCTCCACCACCTGGACCAGGGCAGGCTCAGGTGTCCTCAGCCCCACACTGGCTCCCCAGACCCTGGCCCCATCCCCACCCAGACCCCTTTGCTGCAAAAGGGTCCAGACGGACTGGGGACCCTTCGAATGTTCACTCCCTCCCAGAGAGAGGATCCCCTTAGCATCCAGGGGATCAGGGGCAGCTCTAGATGCCTGCTTATTAGCCCTTCCCAAGGAGTCCGGGAAATGTGGCTTCATCCGAGGTCTCCACAGAAACTGGGCCCAGCCTGTCCCCACTCCAGCAGCAGGCATGGCCGCAGGGGTACGGACTTACGGCGCCTCCTCTTCTGCCCCCAGAGCTACAGGGCTCCACCAGGGACCCCTGGCTGACCTCAACCCCTAGACCCCACCCTCCAGGACCCTGGGGCCGCCCACTCAAAGGACGCCTCCGCCCGGGTGACAGGCAAAGCTCCTCCACCAGGGCGCAGCCCACCCTGCCCACCTTCGTCCCCAGGTCCCTGTGAGGCTGCTGCAGCTAGCAGAGTTCCCAGGAACAGACGGCTCCTGCTGGGGGCAGCCAACATTCCAGGGAGCCTCTGTAATCCGCTCCCTCCTCAGGGCCCAGGGAGGCTGTGTGTGAGGCCTGTGTGTATGATGATAGGGACAGAGACAGGCCTGTGGCAGCATCCCCGTCCCCTCCCCAGCACCGGGTGCGAGTCTGTAAATCAGCCTGCGCTGCGTGGCGTCCTCACGGGGCCGGGCCCGCTCCCTCCTGGGCTGGTTCAGCGGCTCACGCGCTGGAGAAATGAAAGCAAACATACCTAAACCGTGACACTGCCTTTGTTTGGTTTTTATCCTGAAATTGCACAATTCTTCCACAGCCCTGAAATTTTCCTCTGAAGCACACCCCACCCGCCTGCCCTGACGGTGCCCGCACGATGCCCAGCTGGCCACGGGGCTTCCAGTCCGTTCGCCCCTGGCTTCCCTACCACCCCCATAAGTGGTCGCTGATGCGTGTCAGACCTGCTAATTTCGTGAAGGGGTATTTTTCTCTTCAACTATTGGATCTCACTAGCAGCAGAGCCAGTGTGTTCCAAGTCGTGACTCTGCCTTGGGCGCCGGCCACGCGTGTACCGTGCATGAGGTCACATGAACTTCTCAAGCACTGAGGCTTCGAGATACAGAGAGCGCCTGACAGGAGCCACCGCCCCAAACTGCAGAGCCCAGAGCTGGCTGCCACCGAGGGGTTCTGGTTTCTAAGCTGGGTGTCCCCTGATGGGAGCCCCTAGCTCCCAGCTGTGCAAGACTCCAACCTGGGAACAAGGAGGGAGGGAGGCAGAAAGAGGGCAGCCTCAGATCCGGTGCACCAGCCCCCCACAGCCCCCACTACTCCCTGTTCCATCTGTGTCCTGTTTTCTCTGTTCTGAAGCTTCAGCATCTAGGCCCTTGCAGACGCAGGAGGGGCGGCCCCTCCCAGGGTCAGTCAGTTCCCAGAGAGTGACAACGCCTTCATGAGCTCACCTCGCAAATGCACCCCCACCCCCACCCCTCCTCTCTCCGGCTCCCACACTCCTGGCCACTGTCCCTGCCCTCATGGCCCCAAAGCCAGGTTCCAGACCACCAGGGACAGGCTGTAGGACCCAGAGCTCTGAAAGTATTCCCACTGCAAACCCTACACCCGGCGGCACTGCCTGCCTCGCCTGCTCCTTCCTACAGAAACCGTGGTGAAGCTCCTAGAAGTTCTCCTCCTCCTCCTCCCTCTGCCTCCTGACCCACCTGGCACGGCCCATGTGGCCCCATGGGGTCAGCTTCCCCTCCTCCTGGAAGCTATGGTTAGGAACCATCTCTTCCATGCCAGGGTCTCCTCATCTGCTGGCCTCGCCTGCCTGAATAATAATATGCCCATATGTAACACTCCCCACATTGAGCTCCTCTGCAGACCAGCAGGGGCAGGGGTCTGTTCCCCATGCAGCTGGGCTGGGCTGGGGACTCTGCTGGACCCCTGGTCCCCACTCTCTATCTGCCCTGGGGGACCTGGGCAGCCTTGGGCTGAGTCAGGCCAGTTTTGTTCTGAAGGTCAGATGGGATGGTGGCGTGAAAACCACGTGAACTGAGGCTGGTTCCCGGCGCCAGAAGCTCCCGCATCCTGCACTGTTCCTGCTTCTTCAGGGGCCCCCCAACAGCACCCACAGGACACTCGATGGGATCAAGTCATTCCCGCACTTTCAGGCTGGGACACTGGCCAGGGCACAGAGCTGCTGCAGGTTGAGCGGTGAGATCACCATGTCACGGAGCGGAGCCTGGACACGGGCGGGACAGCCCAGCTGGCAGCTCTAACCATCACATGAACTCAGGACGGCTGTGTCCAAACAAACCGCTCTTGGGCGTCTGCACCACCTGGACAAGCAAGTTAAGTGTCCGACACCTCAGTTTCCCCAGCTGTAGGCAGGGCTGAGGAGGTCGGCATCTCAGACAGTGCTGCGGGGCGTGAGAGGCCCAGTGGGGGGACACGCACGCACTCAGAGGGTTCACTCAGTGGCACTAGTACGGCCGCCTGCCCTGCGGTCATTGCTTGTAGCTGCCGGAACAGATGACCACACATCAAGGGGGAGGCAGGGCCGTGCTCCCCAAAGTCTCCAGGGGCGGGTGCTTCCTCGTGTCTTCCAGCTCCGGGTGGCTCTGTGTCCTCCCTGGCCTGTGGCTGTGTGACCCTCTCTCACCTCCAACCTCACGTGGCCTCCCCCTGCTCTCCACTGTCCCTCCTCTCCCTTCCCGTATAAGGACACTTGTCATTGGATTTGGGGCCCATACAAATTCTCTGGGATGAGCTCGTCTTGTCCACCCATCTGCAAAGGTCCTTTTCCCCAGTCAGGTGCCAGCAACTGGGACTGGACACACGAGCCATGCCGTGTATGGGGCAGGCGCTGGCTCAGTCCTCCTCCAGCACTGGGAACAGCTGTTCCCCTCTCCCACCAAGGCTCCCTCCATGCACTGCACCTGCACCAGGCCCCTCCCAGAGAGAATAAGATGGACTGAAGCCCGGCCTTCACCCGTGCTCCACAGGGGACACCTGGCCAGGTGAAAAAGGCAACGCAAGGCCTAGGCGGTGGGCAGACGCGAAAAAGGGCTGCGGGAGGGGTTGGGGTGACGGAGAAACCGTGGTCGGCGGCTTCCTGGGCCTGGCCGGGGCTGGCCAAGCGGCATGGATGTCCCTCCAAAGAGCTTCATGCTTCATTCAGGCTGCCTCAAACAACCGCCCATGCCCAGCACTGTTTGAAGTGCCCCATAGAAAGCGACCCCAGAAACTAAGACACCCCAACCCGCAACGGCCCTTAGACAGGGGAAGCCCTCAGGGGCCGGGACTGCAGTCGCTGCCTGAGACTTGGGTTACAAGACAGCCCTGCTCCTGGGCCCTGCCTGGCTGGAGGGTCTGCAAGGAACCAGAACTTTCCAGCTCTCACGTGCTTGTGTTGCTGACACCGAGCTCCCGACCCACCCGACGGTGAGGTGGCCAGGAGGGACCCAACTAAGTTAATAGAGGGCTGGAGGTTTCACTCAACTTCGAGCAACACAGCAGGCTTGGGCCGTGACCCTGAGGCGGAGGTGGAGCCTCACGGGGAGAGGCCCTGGAGACCAGCGAGGACCAGCATCTGGGGTGGAGCTGGCAGGAGGGCCCCTAGGCCATAAGGGCCTTTCAAAGCCACGTGCAATGTTGCAAATAGATGTTCGGTACCACGAAGAAAAATCAGCACTGAGACAAAGGCCCTTTCAGCGACGCAGTGTATTCTTCCTGGGCTGCAGGAAGGGCGCCCTCACTAGTTCATTGTACAATGAACAAAGGGAAACACACACGTTTATCCCTCACGCATGTGGGGTCATCCTTACCGCCGTGTCTGATCTCCGTTGGCCGGAGCAGACCTCACCATCTAAACTAAAACCCCATTGGCTAACAACTTAAAACTTTTCTAAACAGGTGAAAGCAGTGGAGAGCTGGGACATGCCTGTGAGCACGTCCAGCACAGATCTCTTGGTGAAGGTACAGGGACATAGAATGTACTACGTGCCTGTGAGCACGGCGTGTCTGACAGCTACATAGGATAGGGTTTCACAAAATTATTAGCTCACTTGTTCTTTAACAAGAAAGGGAACTTTGAAAAGGAACTTTTCTACTTCCCACGTGAACAGTGCTGGCAGCCGGGTGGCCTCCACCTAGAGCTCCACGGACCTCGGATTTGTGCTTCAGAACTGATTTCCGAAGCCATTTGGGGAGAAACATCATCTTTATAACCTAATTTCTGACTTGAGCTAACTCTGAACCCCAGTCAGGAGCTGTGGAATGCAGTCCGTGAAAGGAAAAAGTCTCTCTGGTCTGGGGCAGATGGGTGGATGGGGAGGGGTCCCTTTATGAAGTTGGGGGGGGTCACCTCTCAGACCACCCACAGAAGCACTGGTCGGCTGACCCATCATGGGAGCCAGTCCCAAGCCTGGGCACCTAGGCACCGAGCTGTCCATAAGAGGTCAGTCCAGTGAAAGGGGGAAACTGAGGCACTGAGAGGTTAGGTCATTCTCTCAAGGCCACACAGCCAGGCCCCTGCCCACAGTTCTAGGTCCCCTGTGCCCGCAGCAAACCAAAGGTTGGCAGGAGCAGCCCAATATCAGTGGGGCAGCTGGAAGGTGCTCCGGCCTCCCTGGGCACAGAGGGTCCCCATTCTGCTCCCTCTCTCCAGGTACCAGGTGAGGTGGGGGCAGAGGGAGGCTGCTTGCCTGGTGCCTTCAGTTTCCCCTGCCAGCCGAGCTAAGGAGGAAGGGAAAGGTAGCCCACACGGACATCTCCGTTTTAGCTTATTCCTGAAATTTCTGTGAACAGTGCCACACCCTGCCGCTTCCAGGGAACTGGCCGGGTGCCCTCCATCCAGCCAGCTGGGCCCCAGAGGACATAAAAGGGTTTAGGAATCAGAAGGAGCCTCCAGGCAGTGAGTGCTGTCTGAGCAGAGAAGGGCCTGAGAGAGCGGGGCAGTCTTGTCACAGGTGAGAAGGCTCTGCCTGCCCCCCCACACCCCAGGTGAGGCACTGGCGCCCTCTCCTGCCCTCTGCAGTGGCCTCTGCTTCTGTCCTGGTTCCCAGGGGGATGGGGCTGGATGGGACATCTGGATTTCCTTTGGGAAGGGAAGGGAGGGCGGGTTGAGGGTGGGAACATGGTCTGAGTTGAAATGTGTGGACCCGGAGCTCTCAGAGCTCGAGGGCGCTGCTGGAGCTGCCGGGCAGGTGACTTGTTCTGATAACAATGAAGACGGCCCTCCTGCTGCCCTGCCACTGCTCTCTGTAACTCTCTCTCCAGAAACAGAGCCCACCTCATCCCAGCACACGGGCCCAAGCACTGGTCTCACCCCCACCCCTCAGACTCCGAGCCGGGCCAGAGCACAGCCAGGAGAATCTGGTTAGCTCCTCGGGGAAACTGAGGCTCACAGAAGGGTGGAAACACCCGGTCACAACGGTCACCACCACAATCCAGGGTCCGGCCGAGGTCTCCCACTCCCCGTGGCTGGGCCCGGAGGACAGGCCACCATCACCGTGTGCCCAGCCACAACAAGCCACAGGAGCTGAGGCCGGAGCTGAAAACCCTTCCCGCCTGACTGGGGACAAGAACAAGTACAAAGAAGGTGCCGGGGTGCGGGGGGAAGGTCGGGCATGAGACGGGGCTGGAGGGGGCAGAGGAGCTGCAGAGGGTGCAGGCCCCGGCATAGGAGCAAAGCCTTGAAGTAGGGCAGGACCTGGGTCAGCGAGCAGGTGGGAACACAGCCCAGGCAAAGGTGCGGCGAGGGGGCTCCAGGT